TCCGCACATCCACCCTGGCCTACTGCCCGCATTCTTACAATTCGATACCGATGCTGGTAACTTAGCTAACGCTTATGACTAGCAGGGTGCACAGGAACAAGACTAGGTATACATTTATATATATTATGTACATGGTATTTACATTCTCATCATATTTATCTCAGAATGTATCTTCATCTTGACTTGTTGTACTATACAATATCATAGCCTTCTGCAAATTGAACAATACTTATGGCCCGACGGAGGTTAGTCCGTTCATGCTATTTTTGTTCTCTCTCTCCCTCTCTCTCCCTATTTAGTAGTAGAGAGAGAGAGAGAGGCGAGGCCGCGAGGGTCCTGTACGCTAAGGACTTCAGTCTATGCATATAAAATCTTTAGACATATTTCTTATGACGCTTGAAATGATAGACTTTTTTCTCATCTGACATCAGTGGCATGATGATGTCATGATGATGGTGCCTAGCTCAGAACGTCATTTATGCGTTGAACCATTTTAGTTCGAAAAATTTAACGCTTTAACGACTACGTTCAAGTTTATGTGCACTATGAAATAATATAAAAATATAAACGAATTTGATGTCGTGTACATAACTACAATACTACACATACACCTACATACTGTATGTACATGTTGCTGTACAAACATAGGCCTGCTCACATAACCCGTCACATCTACGCTCAAGACCCATACATACGCATATATAAACAGATCATCTCCAACCACAACTCTTCTCGCCAGCCGAGTGATTGCATCATCCCTCTCTCGAACAATCAATCGTCTGATCGCTATAGAACACCCGTGTCGTGTACGCCATGCTGTCTACAAAGCACATGGTCTCCCGCTGTGTGCAAGGATTGGTATCAACACGCGCATACACAGCTCTGAGGCCCATCGGTTGTCTAAAAGTCAATCCTAGAGCATCACAAACGTGTGCTAGTACACTGAGTGCAGCTAATGCTGTGCCGGCGTGTGGATTCTCGAGTGCGCGTATTGCGCTTGATAGCGATAAGTCTACGGGGTCTGAGTGGAAAGGCAGAGATGTCACTGTACCTAAGGTAGGCTGTATCCTTGTACTTGTGCTTAAAACGTGTACTGCTTGTTTATACATGTGCTGGTTGGGTTTCTAAGGTTTATCCTACCACTGGTACACACGAATCACACTTTCTGTTCGTGTTTGTGCACGGAATGGCCCAACCTCTATCCTTTCGCTGGTGTGTACATAGTGTGTATAATGCCGTTGCTGTATGCACACTGTTTATGCATTATATGTCTTAGCTGTACCACATTCTATATCCTTTCACTGGTGTGTACATAGTGTATATAATGCCGTTGCTGTATGCACACTGTTTATTAGTTGTATTCTGTTATATATCCTTTCACTGGCGTGTACATAGTGTGTATATTGCCGTTGCTGTATGCACACTGTTTATGTATTATACGTCCTACTTGTATCCTGTTATACATCCTTTCACTGGTGTGTACATACATAGTGTATACAATGCCGTCGCTGTATGTAATAGTTGTGTCCTTACACCGGAGTACTGAGGCCACACTTCCCGTTCCGCATGTGCTAGGATTGGATGTGCATGTGGTTGCACTGTAGCCTTCCGATATCCATCCACTGGCTTTATAATGGCTACACTGTTTGTTTATGTATGTGTTAAGAATTTCTATTACATGTGTGCCATGGGTACTTCCTTGTTTGTTCCTGTATATGCTAAGGAGTGTTAATATCCTCCTTTCTATTACATGTGTGCCATGGGTACTTCCTTGTTTGTTCAATTATGTGCTAAAGAGTGTTAATATCTTCCTTTCTATTACATGTGTGCCATGGGTACTTCCTTCTTTGTTCATGTATGTGCTAAAGAGTGTTTCTATTTTCCTTTCAATTACATGTGTGCCACGGGTACTTCCTTGTGTGTTCATGTATGTGCTAAGGAGTGTTTCTATCTTCCTTTGTTAACATCTTTCTTTCTATTACCTGTGTGCAATCGATGTCTCTGCTGTTCATGTTTGTGCGTGCTGTGGCTCCACCTCATAACCTTCGCCGGCTGTACCTTGAATACTTTTATAGTCTAAGCATGTGCCACCCATGTGCTTATTGTGTATGAGAGATATGTTTTATTCGTGTATGCGCCAGGCCTGAGCTTCGCATATATATTCTAACAGTGGTGTATATAAGATATTCACTTAGTCATAGTGTGCTAGGGGTGACGGCACCGTATACATTGCTTTAAAGTTTAGTATATGCATATATATATATATATATATATATATATATATATATATATATATATATATATATATATATATATATATATATATATATATATATATATATATATATATATATATATATATA